GCCTGGAAATGTTGTGCCACTAAACAAGGCAGTGCTCATCAACAGTTTTTTTGTCGCTGTGAGGTAAATGGATGTGTTCTCTATTTGTTTTTCGTTGCAACTGTTGTCAAATGTCAATCGGTCTGTCTGGGCTTTTTCTCAGAGGATGTTAATCAATTTTTGTGTCTACATGCCAGAGCTTCGACTATTCTAAAGTCGAAGGAAAACAGTAAAATCAATTAAGAAACTGTGTTAAATATTATGTCAGAGATTTTAACAGCTGGTAATGATCATATAAAAATGATTTTAGGTCAATAGTAGAAGTAGAGAACAATTTAAGGAGGATGTAAAGGAAGGAAATGTGGAAAAGAAGATGTATGTAAGCACCAAGATGTATAAAAAGGATGAAAATAATGAGGTTTTCTAGGAAGTCTCTTCCACCTCAGCGATGAATTGGAAGCGTCAGGCAGTTCAGTCCCCCCCCCTCCGCCTCCCTCTTCAAGTTACAAAAGCTCATTTTGGAGATTTTGCTGGCACGGCAGAAAAGACCTCTGTTTCCCATTTTCCATATTTCATATACGGCCCATTGGCGAGCATCGTCATGGCTTGGCACATTTACGAGAGATGCATTGAAGAACTTATCACTCGGAAGATATGCTTAAGTTCAGCATTTTGAAAGTCACTCTGCACTCTATAGTGATGCACTTATAGAGCAGAGGTACATTATGATCACTCTACATGGTTACGCCATCTGTCACTACGCGAACAGCCAAACATTTTAGTTGCAGGTCACACTCAAACAATAATAACACATTGGGTTTACATAGTTGTAGGTTCATAAAATGAATACAAAAAAGGTAGATGATTGATACATAGACAATATAACAAAAATTAGGGGAAGCCAAAAAAAGCCAACAAAAGGAATCCAATGGTAATAACACAGCACACTGCAGTAAGATGCAATGAGACATGAATAGACTTCATTAACAGCAGACATTTGACCTTTCATAGTAAGAAAGGCACAGGTGTTACAGATAACATAAGGGATGGTTCTGTTCTTTTCTAGAGTCCCGATAATCCATGATGGAGAAAAACAACAGGGTCCTGTAACTGAATCTGCTAACTCGAATTACGCAACAGTTATTTCAACTTTTTTCTACAATTGTATCGCATTGAAATTACTTACAACATATGTTCCAAACTGTTGTATTGCTACTAATACTTACTCAATACTTTTTCCACAATTTGGTAATATAACATGCTGCCAAACTCTATGTCCTTTTAAACCTAGATAAGATGCTAGAATTGACAGCCAGCCTTTTGGGGATGTATGAAAAACATTGTGTTGAATATGAACATGTGAAACTGAGCAAAAGATAGGCTTTTGTGATGATTAGTCATAGGTGTCAGGATCATATACTGTATATATATAAAGGTCAGGATATAAGATTTGGCTTTGTTGCAGCTGCTAGGGCGGGACAAATAGCACTTCTCATTGGTTCACTGAGACAAGTGGGCAATCGGCCTTATCGAAGTGCAATTGTAAGTGACACCATTGGCCCAATTATTTTGAAAATAAATGACAATTTGACCCACTGACCTACATAACCACGGATCATCATATCATTCCCAACAGAGCTTCTAATACCTCGTTGTCTATCATTATTAAAACAATTGGAAACACCTGTGCGGATGGGCCAATGTTCCTCAACTGGGTAAAGAATGACGTAAGTCCTTTCTGCGCGTTCCTACATAAGTACTTATTTAGTTTAAATGTATTTTTTACAATATATGCATACTTATTAACCCTTATATCTACACTAAATAATAAATTGAGCTCTGTAGCTGAACCAAACTAGTTTTTTAGAAGCACACACACATCAGGAACTGTGCTCTGCGGGGTGGGTCAGTGTTTGACAGCTCAACCTCAAACAGCTGGCCCTGCTCGACCCCTGTATTGAGATGTTAGAGTGTCCTTGTGGAAGACACTAATCTGCGCTGAATGGACTGCCAGGTCCAGTGGTGCTGCGCTGACTGTGACCTCCCGACAAAGAAACTAAGCGGAGAGACTTTCCTCGAGTGGGTGTCACATCATTCTCCCGGCGATTGTCTTAAGTAAGTGTGCGACTTCGTCCTCGCAGTTAGCCGCTAACCCAATGGGCTCTAAAGCTAAAGTACTATAAGCAATTTATCAGGAGGCTTCCGGCGTGCGGGCATTAAAGCTGAGCAACATGCTGAGTCAACGCTTCTCCAAGAACGGGCGAAAAAGCGCCACTTTCATTCCAATGGTGATAAGGGGAGAGCGAAAAGGCGGGAATCAGACCGGTGTAATGCTGATGGACGTAGTCAGTGTCTTTAGTGTGAGGCGGGGGTTGGGGGG